CCTCGGCCTCCCAAAGTGCTGGGATTACAGGCGTGAGCCATCGCGCCCGGCCGCTTAGGTGAATTCTCTTGATGCAGATGATAGGACTGAGGAATTCGGGCTGTAAACCTCTGGATTAAGTGGTGCTGAAATTTCTCTTCTGGTGGCAGGTGTACACTGGGGCTATGAAGAGACCAAGACTTACCTTGCAATTCTTAGTGAGACCCAGTTTTATGAAACCCTCCGGAACTGTCACCGCAACAGCCAGCTGTATGGAGCAGTGGCTAAGAGGTTACGGGAATATGGCTTTCTTAGGACCCCGGAGCAGTGTCGGACCAAGTTTAAAAGCCTGCAAACCAGCTATCGGAAAGTTAAGAATGGCCAGGCACCAGAGACCTGTCCCTTCTTTGAAGAGATGGATGCTTTGGTGAGTGTCCGGGTTGCTGTCCCATCCAATGATGGCCAGGAAGAAACAGCTTCTTGCCCCATCCAGGGGACCAGTGAGGCCAAAGCTCAGACGCAAGCCGAGGAGGCAGACGAGACCACAGAGGAAGATTCTGATGATGAAGAAGATACCGAGATACTCCCAGGGGCTGTCATAACCCGTGCTCCAGTGTTATTCCAGAGCCCCCGTGGTAAGATTCTTTCACTGTTATGGTACAAATAACAAAGGGAAGACAATGGGACTTAGGAAAAATATCAGATTGAGGAGAACTGGTCTCTACACCCAGCTTTCAGGATTCTTCTTGTGATCACCCATATTTCTTGTCTATTAAAGCAGCTCACTGAGGGGATATAAATTATTTATGTGACTTGCCTCCTCTCACTAGAGCATCAATCTGAGATAGCTGCACATTGTAAATCTGCTGTGATTTATTCATGAACTGCTAGGTTTCCAGCCAGTTTACCAAGCAGGGATTCTGAAAGCTCATATTTCTCAAGTAGCATGTCATGTACCCCATAGTAGGATGAAGTTGATTTTAAAAGTTCATTCTCTTTTATGTAATGTTTTCTTCTAGTTCCAGCTCATATACCAGCTGTATGTCTGCTTTATTCACGTTTATGAAAACCTGGTAACTCTTCTTCACTTTTATGAATCTGAGGTTCCTGAGAGAACTGACCCTTTGAATCTTAGTTGCTAGATAAGAAAAAAATACTTCACAAGGGCTTCCCTCCTTGTGAGAAGAATTCTGATTTCAGAGTCATATATGTGTATGTATGTGAATCTGGGCTCTGTTGTTTATTAGCTAAGGGACTTAGAGAAAGTTACTTAAGTCTGGGCACAGTGGCTCACGCCTGTAATCCCAGCATTTTGGGAGGCCAAGGCTGGCAGATCACCTGTCAGGAGTTGGAGGCCAGCCTGGCCAACATGGCGAAACCCCATCTCTACTAAAAATACAAAAAATTAGGTGTGGTAGTGTGTGCCTGTAATCCCAGCTACTCGGGAGGCTGAGGCAGGAGAATTGCTTGAACCTGGGAGGCAGAGGTTACAGTGAGCTGAGATTGCGCCACTGCACTCCAGCCTGGGCAATAACAGTGGAAAAAAAAAAAGTTACTTAACCCCCAAGTTTGCTTATATATGAAGACGTACCTCACAAGGTTGATGTAAATGAGGTACTATGCACAGTGCCTGGCACATAGTAGCCATTTAATAAATAATAGTTTTCATTTTCATAAGCCTTTAAGATCAGCATTCTTTAATGGTGTTCCCTGGAATATCAATTCCATGGGGTATTAATATATTCTACTAAAAAATAACTTCTAGGTTTGGGAAGATGGTAAATACCCCTCTTGGAGGCTCACAATACATATTCACATATTTAAGCATCTTAAGATTTATTTAATCTAGTTAATATTTCATGAAATATAAGACTAGGCTTCTGGGTGGAAATACTGTCTCAGGAGGTACAAACATGGGTTGATACTCAACATGCTTTTACTCCTAGATTTAGAATAGGGAATATGGGATTCAGAGTTTACCTGAAATATCTGAATAAATGCAAATTTGCATAGCCTAGGCCCAAATAAGCCAGGCATTTGGTTCTTAAGACCTTTTAGTTCTTTGAAAGACACTACATATTTTTATATCCTGTTTTTACTTCCAATGTATATTGGAATGTGAGGGGAAGGGGACTCATGAAGCTCCTCTGGATATAAAAGTTTCCAAAAATGTTTTCCTGAGCATGTCCTTCTAAACCTTTTAGTTACTGGTGAAGAACATGAATAAGAATACTATGACAGACCCGAGATGTGGCAAAAATACGTATTAGAAAGTGTCTTTCCTGTAGAAACATGGAAATTATTTTATCTAAAACCTGGTGAATTTTCTGTGCTGTACTGAGAGGATTTTCCAGAGATCCTAGGTGATCAAGAGGAGTTAAGAGTATATAATTAATCAGACCCTATGTAGATGAGAAGCACATGATAGGTTAACAAGTAGAGAAGTAAAACATTGGGATTTTAATAAGATAATGGTAGTTATTTGGGATCTAGGGCTCCCTAAATTTTATCTTTAATCATCTGGTGTAATGCTTGTTTTTCCCAAGTTTTACATTCCTGTGGCACATATGATTAAGAAAATAGATGACTTCTAAAATTCTATTTTACATCAGGTTTTGAAGCTGGATTTGAGAATGAAGATAATTCAAAACGGGATATTTCTGAGGAAGTACAATTGCATAGGACATTACTTGCAAGGTCTGAAAGGAAAATTCCCCGGTATCTTAATCAAGGTAAAGGCAATGAGAGTGACTGTAGATCAGGAAGACAGTGGGCAAAGACCTCAGGGGAGAAAAGAGGAAAACTGACACTCCCAGAGAAGAGCTTAAGTGACGTCTTAAGTCAACAGAGACCTTGCTTGGGAGAGAGACCATATAAACATCTCAAATACAGCAAAGGCTTTGGTCCGAATTCCCTTCTCATGCATCAGGAATCCCACCAGCTGGAAAATCCATATAAATGCGCTGATTGTGGGAAAAGCTTCAGTCGGAGTGCACGACTCATTAGACACCGGAGAATCCACACTGGAGAGAAACCTTATAAATGTCTTGACTGTGGAAAAAGTTTCCGTGACAGTTCAAATTTCATCACCCATAGGAGAATCCACACAGGAGAGAAACCTTATCAATGTGGTGAGTGTGGGAAACGCTTCAATCAGAGCTCAAGCCTTATCATTCACCAGAGAACCCACACAGGAGAAAAGCCCTATCAATGTGAAGAGTGTGGAAAAAGCTTCAATAACAGTTCTCATTTTAGTGCACATCGGAGGATACACACAGGAGAGAGACCCCATGTGTGCACTGACTGTGGAAAGAGTTTCAGTAAGAGTTCTGACTTACGTGCACATCATAGAACCCATACAGGAGAGAAACCCTATGGGTGTCATGACTGTGGCAAGTGCTTCAGTAAAAGCTCTGCCCTTAATAAACACCGAGAAATCCATGCACGGGAAAAGCTTCTGTCACAGTCAGCACCTAAGTAAGCCCCTGAGGATATATAAAGGAAAGAGGCTCAATAAATGTATTGTTTAGAAAGTCTTCCAGTAGTGAGATCCATCTCCTATTCTGTGTCCAGCTAGCTTAGGAAATTCTCTAGGATTTATGCCACTGTTCCTTGTTTTTCCTGATCTAGAGTCAAATCCCCAAGGCAGTCTAAAGAATGAAAGGAAGATTTTAGTCCCTCTCCTTGCCTGCATCTGAACTGATGGATAACATCTTTTCCCTCTCAGTGCCTATGGTGTTCCCTTAATATAAGCAGAGAGGACATGGTAGCAGATCCTATGAATTTGATAAGCATCCTTCTTGACTCATTCTGTCATGCAACTGCATTTTGACAGGAAAAACCCATTACATTTCAAGAAGAAGTTGTGAGACTTTGCTCATTAGGTGGGTCTAGCTCTTTTTTTTTTTTTTTTTTTGAGACGGAGTTTTGCTCGTTGCCCAGGCTGGATTGCAATGGCACAATCTCAGCTCACTGCAACCTCCGCCTCCCAGGTTCAAGTGATTCTCCCGCCTCAGCCTCCCAAGTGGCTGGAATTACAAGCATGCGCCACCATGCCCAGCTCATTTTGTATTTTTAGTAGAGACGGGGTTTCTCCATGTTGGTAAGGCTGGTCTCAAACTCCCGACCTCAGGTGATCCGCCTGCCTCTGCCTCCCAAAGTACTGGGATTACAGGCATGAGCCACCGCACAGGGCTTTTTTTGTTTTCGAGATAGAGTCCTGCTCTGTCACCCAGGCTGGAGTGCAGTGGCGTAATCTCGGCTCACTGCAACCTCTACCTTCTGGGTTCAAACAATTCTTCTGCCTCAGCCTCCCGAGTAGCTGGGATTACAGCCGCCTGCCACCACACCTGGCTAATGTTTGTATTTTCAGTACAGATGGGGTTTCACCATGTTGGCCAGGCTGGTTTTGAACTGACCTTGTGATCTGCCTGCCTAGGCCTCCCAAAGTGCTGGGATTACAGGCGTGAGCCACTGCGCCCGGCCCAGCTCTTCTTTATACAATAATTGAAATGCTAACATGAATGACTCTTCCTGCTCACTTAAACCTGTGCTCAAAATGACATATTTGTCAGGCACCCTCTTCATTTACCTTAAAGAAGGAGAGTTTAATGTCCATCTTTGATTCTGCCCTATGAATCGTCTTGTCAAGAACAGGTGTTCTTATGCAGAAACAATGAAAACCTTATACTGAAGTGTGAACCCTGGATTTCTTAGTTTCTTCCGAGTCCTAGAAGAAGGGTTGGAACAGAATAATACATTTACAGGATTTAGTTTGGTTTTCTTTCTGTCCAGTCTCATCTGAATTTCATCTGTCCCTTGTGGTCCAGAAGTTCCACAGAGCAAGGCAGCTGGAAGTGGTGACAGGTAAAGCAGTTAAAGCTGCCAACAGGAACTCATCCATATTCCACACACCTAGTATAGTGTTATGCCCTCCACAGGCACTTCCCTGCAATAAGTAGAAGCCACTGCCACATTCCCACGTATTGGGAAAATGGACTACTGTGTGCGAACAGGCCCTTCACCCTAATAGCAGGGAAGATGGATTATCTTTGGCCAGTGGAGCTGCCAATCTAGACATACACATTCAGCTGAATACAATTAAAAGCAGTTCTTTAAATGCAAATGTAATTACTCATCTTTATGATACAATAGTATTGAATTAACTGCCCATATATTCATAGTATGATGAGCCCTGTATAGCACAAGGTCAGCAGGTCCTCTCCTTGTCCTTACAATCTAAAGCAGATGACACTGACATGGACAAACAAGTGCACATGCATAGTTGCAGCAGTTTTAGAGAAATCTAGAAAGCTAGGTAGCAACACTATGCATAAATGTTGTGGTCCAATGCATTAGTTTGCTTTAACAAAAATCCAGGAGGTATTTTCTTCTCTTTATTCAGGAAGGCTTCATGAAGCAGGAAGTGTTTAAAGGAGGGAAGGTTACTGGTTAAATTAGGATAGGAAGAACCTTCCGTAACTAGTTGCAAAAGTGAGTGCTGGGTGGGTTGAGGAATGGGAAAATGGGGGAGCAAGGTGTTTTGTGTAGATGGAACAAAAGGCAAAGGATATACTGTAAGGAAGGCCAGATAAAGCTTGGAGTAGCATGAGAACTTGAGGAATAGTATGATATGGGCTGTGCAGCAGGCAGAGAGAATCACCTTAGCTGAAACATGGGTGTTAGCAGCAGACCATGAGGGGGCAGTCCCATCATCTGTAGTAAATCAGGTACTATGCTATAACTACTGATAAGGAAACAGCTGACTGACACTGGAAGAATAAGCAGTTTAAGGGGACTAGCTCCAATGGGAGACGAAGGTCAGAAATCGTAGTAACTGATGAAGATATTTTGATGAGCAGGTGAGAAGAAAGATAAACATGGCCAGATGGCCAAGGCCTGGGATAAATAGCTGTTTCACATTCAATTAGAATTCTGTGGCTGGAATAAGATCGGGGAGAGCAGCAGGAAGATACAGTATTCTGTAATTCATAGCTTGTTGTATTAGAGATTAATTAGGATTCTAGTGTTGAATCTTAGTACAAAAAAATCTAATATTTATTAGGAATTAAGGGAAGATGGTATTTCTGTTATGTTCCCTAAGCAGACAGGAAGCTATAAGAAACCAGTCTGAAGCAGTGCCTCAGGATCTGAGATGATTTAGGAAGTGTGCTGTAATGTCAAAAAAAAAAAAAATATATATATATATATATATATATATATATATATATAGTCTTTAGTGTATCTATGTATAGTCTTGTGGGAAAAGCATTGGTTGGGGTGTCAACAGATATTCTGGTTCCAGATGTCTTGTGTGTAAGTTAACCTGCCTCCATTTCCCTTTCTATAAAGCAAAATAATGTTTACACCTAATCTGTCTCTCAGGGATACCATATTAATAAAAATTATGTCTATAAAGTGCCTGGTGTTTCTTCAAGTGAAACACATATATATACACACACACACAAATTACAATCAAGTTGTGGATGGTAGGAAAAGATCAGTCTTTCTTTTTTTTAGCTCCCTGTGTGGGTTTACTAGAAGTATGCTTATCTGAATCTTTATATTCTAGAAAGAGGAGTAAGTCAGATTGTGGTAAAAGGGGAATTAGAATGCAAATCCTTCCTTTGTATCTCTAGCCATATCCACAATAAATTAGGACCCAAGATAACTGGGCATGCAGAGACTTATTTTTTAAATTTTTATTTATTTTATTTTTTAGAGACAGGATCTCACTCTTGCCCAGGCTGGAGTCAGTGGTACCATCATAGGTCACTGCAGCTTCAAATTCCTGGGCTCAAGCGAGCCCCAGCCTCCCCAATAGATGGGACTACTGGCATGAGCCACCACACTCAGCTCATTTTTTAAAGTTTTGTATTGATGAGGGGTCTCTCTATGTTGTCCAGGCTGGTCTTGAACTCCTGGCTTCAAGTGATCCTCCTGCCTCAGCCCCCCAAAGTGTTGGGATTACAGGCACGAGCCACAGTAACCAACTCAGCTGAGTCTTACTTTAAAAGACCCAGAACCAGCTGGGTGCGGTGGCTTATGCCTGTAATCCCAGCACTTTGGGAGGCTGAGGCAGGTGGATCATGAGGTCAGGAGTTTGAGACCAGCCTGGCCAAAATGGTGAAACCCCATCTCTACTAAAAAAATACAAAAATTAGCTGGGTGCGGTGGCGGGCACATGTAATCCCTGCTACTCAGGAGGCTGAGGCAGGAGAATCACTTGAACCCGGGGGACAGAGTCTGCAGTGAGCCAAGATCATGCCACAGCACTCTAGCCTGGGTGACAGAGCAAGACTCCGTCTCAAAAAAAAAAAAAGACCCAGAACCAACACTCCAAACTCCAGATGAAAAGAATGTGCAGAAGGAATAGGGCAAGGGCCAACTTGCTTACCAGGTGAAAACCCAGTTCATCTCAAACTACCTCACAAACCATTACATGCTGCCCAACCTGCCATTCCTCAGGATGGAAGCAGCAAAACATATCTTCAAACTTTCTGAGAAAGAAACCAAGCTCACTGTTGGGCATCTCTGCACCTCTAACTTTTTAACATCAGTAAAGCCTTTGTGGGAGAGATGGGGTGGCATGTGCAGCAAAGGATGCAAAAAATGTGTATTAGCAGAAGCTGGACAATCCTGTTCACATCAGTTGTTTCCTTAGTGCCATTACTTTTCTTTTCCCCCATACTATCATTTTTCCTTTTATTGTTTGTTCTCTATGGCCAATGCCATAGAATGTAACATGTTTTTGCCATTCTCATTTATTGTAATCTGAATGTAGACTCTTGAGTCTTGTCAACGTAGTATAGCACTATTTTTATGGTGACCAGGTAAGAACGGGATGATGAGGTAAGATTGTAAAGATACATCAGTTCTTTCCCCATTATTCAATTCAAACTCCAAAACGAAGACTTCACTCCTATACACTCAAATAGCTATGTAATGACATACATGTCTCAAAAGTTTTGACATATAAAATGTTATGTAGAATTCTTTGAAACCATGGTGCTTAAACTACCAGGTGTGTGTGTGTGTATTTTTTAAGAGCTTAAATTCTTCCTTTCCTACCACACCCAACATGGTGCTATTTTAGAAACAAAACTTTGGAACAACTAGAAGTCAGGTTCAACACTAGAAACAGAAGTCCAATGTACCTCAGAGCTCAAAAAGGCTCTGGAGAGCAGAACTTCACTGTGGTCAAAGAGTAAAGTAAAAATATTAAAAAGAAAATACATTGATTCCCAGTTGACTCAGTTCAACCTGTATAACCCAATAGATAAATCAGGGAAGTAATTTTAAAGTCCTCCATAATTAATGAGTTCCTCAAATTATTTAAGTAGAATTTAATTTACAAATATTTTATTGACATCTTTCTTAAATATAGTACAGAAACCAAAGATACTCACATCATTGTACACAGTGAGGTCTATATTCCAATAACTTATGCTGTGAGTCACCAAGCACCTGAATATTTCTTAGGCCTCACATATTTCTGGTTGCCCAAAGTTGGCATTTAAGAGTTTTTAACAGATAAATGCA